GGGAGGCGTGCCGGGGAGCCAGCTCTGTTACCAGACAGCCCCCGTTCGCCGCGGGTGTGCCGGGCACCCTCCGGAAGTGCGGCAGGGATGGGGGGTGGCAGCGAAGGACTGGTGTGTTTGGGGACCGAGTGACCGGCGTGCGCTGTGCCCGGGGTGCCCGTGGCAGTTTGTCCCAGAGGCAGTGGCTCTCGTGTCTCCGGACGGACCTCCCAACGGGCCAGGACTGCTCTGGTGTGTGACCGGGGAGCCCTCCGCTCTGGTGTGTGACCGAGTGGAGATTGTATTTGCCTGCCTCACTTGTGATCTTCCATGGGATTGCGACCGGCCTGGAGTGACCCCGTGTGTGCCTCAGTTTCCCTGGGCACCGCACCAATAGCGAGATGGTGACCGCCTCCCACAGGGACAGTCACCTGACCTGGGAGGGGGAGTAACACCAATGGACACCTTTTCCCCCTGGGAAGCAGGACAAAGGCTGGGGCGGGCTGCTGGCTGGGAGAGTCTGGCTGGCCCCTCTCCCCAAGTCGGATGGTGCTGGCTGCTCCTGGCTCCTGTGCCGATTAGTCTGTTCGACGCCGTGTCCCTGTCGACTAATAAACCTTCTGCTCTCCCGGCCGGCTGAGTCCCCTCTGGCCGCGGCTGGGGGGCAGGGCCCCGTGACTCCCAGCTGTGTGGATCTGCATGTGCCCCACCCTCCAGAGCTCTGGCTCCAGCAGAGGTCCCCTGTAACGTCGTGCCGTTCCCGGCCCTGTGACCGCAGAGGTACCGCGGAGGTGGAGGGAGGCGGACCAGCCCCGTCCAGAGCCCTCCCGTTGGCTGGCTGGGGTGCTGGGCCGCGGCTGGGGGGCAGGGCCCCGTGACTCCCAGCTGTGTGGATCTGCATGTGCCCCACCCTCCAGAGCTCTGGCTCCAGCAGAGGTCCCCTGTAACGTCGTGCCGTTCCCGGCCCTGTGACCGCAGAGGTACCGCGGAGGTGGAGGGAGGCGGACCAGCCCCGTCCAGAGCCCTCCCGTTGGCTGGCTGGGGTGCTGCAATGCGGGAGAAGGGGCGGGCGCAGAGCAGGGGAGGCAGGCATCAGTATAGCCACACTGGGATGCTAGCTCGGGGCCAGGAGAGCCGCCCTTTGCTCGCCTGGGGGTTGTCCAGGAAAGGTGGGGTCCCACGCTGCAGCCCCAGGCTCTACGCTGCATTGAGACCTCCGAGTCCAGCCACCCGTACCCCCGGCTTCCTAGCGCCCTGCCCGCCCTCTGGTGGTGGTGCAGTGTGGGGTAAGGGTGTTAAGGACTAGTCGAGTCGACTAGTTGCTTCCCCCGCCTTTGCTGCCTCTATCCGACAGGGGCAGCAAGTGGGGGGAGGAAGAGGTACTTCAAAGCAGCAGCACCGCATGGAGCCCCGGGTCGGCTGTGTGGCGCTGCCCCTTTGAAACGCCACCTCAGGGCATTTCCGCTGAACCTGCAGTCAGCTGGGGAGTCCGCACGGAGCCTGGGGAGTCCCCAGCTGATCCCAGGTTCTTTGGCACAGCCACCCGTACCCCCGGCTTCCTAGCGCCCTGCCCGCCCTCTGGTGGTGGTGCAGTGTGGGGTAAGGGTGTTAAGGACTAGTCGAGTCGACTAGTCGCTTACCCTCCTCCCCCCTTTGCTTCCACTTTGAAACACTAGGGAAATGCAGCACTGAGCCCAGGATCATCTGGGGAGTCCCGAGCTGACCCTGGCTCCACGTGGCATTTCAAAGCAGCAGCAGGAGCCAGCTCCATCCCTGGGGCGGCATTTCCGCTGAACCTGCAGTCAGCTGGGGAGTCCGCACGGAGCCTGGGGAGTCCCCAGCTGATCCCAGGTTCTTTGGCAATGCCACGAGGAGCCCTGAGCTGACCCTGCTCCGTGCGGCATTTCAAAGTGGCAGCGCCGCATGGAGCCCGGGTTCCACGGGGGAACTCTTGAGTCTCCCGCTGACCCCAGGCTCCATGCTGGTGCTTCTGCTTTGTAACAAGCAAGAGCCCCCGCTCGGGGGACTCCTACGTTTCAAAGCTGGCACCTGCGTGCAGTCGGGGGCTAGCGGGAACTCCAGCTGGCTCGGCTCCACCCAGGCGCCTCTGCTTCGAAATGCACAAGAGCCCTTGGGAGTCAGCGGGAGTCAGCACGCGGCGTTCCCGCTCAGGGCTCTTGTACGTTTCAGAGGAGAAATGTGGAAGGGCCTGTCGGCTAGAATAACCGATTGGTAACACCCTTAGTGTGGGGAAGCCTGACTCCCCCAAAGCTGGCTGCCCAGATGGCAGGGAAGGGGAGCCCTGGACGGTGGCTAGAACACGGGCCCAGGGGTCTGCGGTCGGATGC